GCTACAAGTTTCCAAGTTGTCCAACCTGTAATAGCTCTGAAATGCCTGATAAATCTAAGAAGAACGCTGTAGTGCCTACAAATAAGCCGAGTGCCCATGCTGTGGATGATTCATACTTGGCTTGTCATACTGTTTTTCATGGAAGTCATCAGATTTCGAGCCACCCTACAAAGTCACGTGGTTGGATCCTGGATAGCGGGTGTACAGCTCATTTGTGCGGAGATAAGAGTCTTTTCAGTTCACTTGAGGCCGGTTTTGCTGGAGTTGCTGAGGTGTCTCTTGATGATGCCTTGTCCAGTGATGAGAAATCTGAATGGATTAATGCCATTGTAGCTGAAGTAGAAAGCTTAATCAAGAATGATACCTTTGAGATCATCAAGAAACAGGAAGATCAGAAGACAATCGGTTGTCGAGTTGTGCTGACAAATAAGTATAATCCAGATGGATCTATTTCTCGCCGAAAGACTCGTATCGTTGCAAAAGGATATAGTCAAAAATATGGTATTGATTATCATCAGATCTTTGCACCTGTTGCACGAATGGAATCCATCAGACTCTTATTGGCTCTGTCAGCAGAATATGACTTGAAGGTTTGGCAGTTCGATGTCGTTACTGTTTTTCTGAATGGCTATTTGGATGAAGAGGTAATTATGGACGTGCCGGATATGCTGAAGATCTCACTCGAAAGGTTAGTGACCGAGAAAGCCACCGGACCCCGTTGTGAAGAGACGAGCTGAGAGATTGTTGAGTGAATTAAAATCAGGTGATAATGCCTGTAGACTCAATAAAGCTTTATACGGATTACGTCAAGCAGGCAGGCAATGGAATAAACGCCTGAATAAAAAGTTGAAAAAGATGGGTTTGGTTCCCACCAAAGGAGAACCATGTTTATATCAAGCACATCGTAATGGAAGGATATTGTTGCTGTTGATCTATGTAGATGACATTTTAATTGCTTCCAGTGATGATGACTAAGTGAGATAAAGCAACAATTAATGGACGAGTTTCAGATAAAAGATCTTGGCTTGGCCAAGAGCTGCCTTGGCTTGGAAATTTATCAAAAGAAGAATGAAATAACCGTTTCTCAGAAGGGATACACCATTGACTTACTTAAAAGGTATGGCATGGAAGCTTCTAATCCAGTGAGTACCCCTTCAGAGATCAACTCAAAGAGACCAAAGGAGGAATTATCCACTCCGATTAAGGAGTTTTACTTCTATCGTGAATTGATAGGTGCTCTAATGTACCTGTCTACTTGTACAAGGCTTGACATAGCCAACACTGTGTCGAAATTGGCTCAATTTAATATAAATCCTAGTAAGGAGAATTGGATCTCCACAAGGCGAGTATTGAGATACCTTGCCGGTACGTTTGATCTCGGATTGTCGTATAAGAAAACCAACAAAAACTTGATTGGATACTCGGATGCTGACTGGGGTGGATGCAGTGTGGACAGACGATCTTATACGGGATATGTTTATCTACTCGGAGACGGTGCCATTTCTTGGAAATCACAAAAGCACTTTCGTCGACCGAGGCTGAGGACATCAGCATGACAGAGGCTGTTAAAGAAGGTATATTTCTGCAGAGTTTACTCAAGGAGTTAGGTCTTTTTCAGATGGCTGATGTCATACTTTATGTTGATAATCGTGGAGCTCAATACCTGGCCAATGACTACATGTATCACCCACGAACAAAACATATCGACATAAGGTACCACTTCATAAGGGAAGTGATCGCAAATGGTTTGATGAAGCTGGAGTACGTACCTACAAATCAGATGGTGGCCGACTACCTCACCAAGGCTCTGCCAAAAGATGGACATTGGAACTGTGCATGGGAATGCGGGCTTACATGGATCTAAGGATTTCCCTTGTCCCTTTTTTTGCCAAAAATTGTTAGTAGCGTTCAACTTAAGGGGGCGTGTTAAGATATTCAATTTTTCCGCTTATTGATCCACCATGTTGATTCACCATATTATTCTACCATATTGATCATATACTATGTAGCATTCACACGACTCTCTAAGAGTGCATGCCTTTATATCACTCTGTATTCCACCGGCGACTCGATACAATCAAAGCCTTACTTTTATCACGTGAATAAATTAATAAAACAGGAATCGTGCATTTAAACACGCATCTCAAAGTTTGTCGTATACCTTTGAAACCACTTCCAATAACTACTGGCGATATTAAACAAGTTCTTATTATTAATATACAACTTTTAGAATATAATAGTTACTTAATAATATATAAATATACTGTAAATAAAGAGCACTCCGCACTGCTCGATCCACACGCGTGTATACGCACTCACGCATCGTACGTAGGATAATGTACGCATCATGGCTGTCGCGATGAGCGTTGCGCGCAATATAAAACAATAATATTCTAACAACAGAACATTAATATAGTACCAACGTTATTTCCAAGTCCAAATTACAAGGAATTTTGAACTGTTGCATTGATCTCAAATAAATGTCAGAGTAACATTTAAAAAATATTTTTTGTAACGTTTTTAAAATATTTTAACAACATTCAGAAAAATCATATTACGAAATAATATTTTTCAAATATGTGTATAATATTATTAAAAAACGTTTAAAAAATACACATAAAGTCAATATTTCTAAACGTTAATTTAATGTTCCTTGCTTACTGGGCTGCTTGTCAACAATTTTTTTCCGAGGAACACAGAAGTTCTAGTGACTTTAATAGAAGTAACCAATTGCGTCTCTAGACTTTTATGTTCCCCCTTTATTTCAGGAAAGAAGTCGTTGACGGGCAGTGTACACCTTTCACCGGGCGGTACATCCTGTTCAAACACGTAACAATTGGACACCGCTCGATTAGACATGCAATATTTGACACGTTTTATTGGACATCGCACGATTGGACACAGTATGATTCGACATTGCACGATTAAACACGCACATTGCACGATTGGACACCGAACGATTGGACACCGCACGATTGGACACCGCACGATTCAACACCGCACGATTGGACATCGCACAATCGGTTCCACATGGGTTTTCAACTTATCGCAAACCGAGGTCTACCCTCACCTACCATTGCGGGGAGGGGCGTAGACCCGTGTGTATTGTACGTCGCTTACGTATGTACTGTCTATACACAAATATCACGTAAATCGTACAATGTTAAAGCTGTGTCCAATCGTGCGGTGTCTCCAATCGTTCGGTGTCCAACATAGAGATATAAGAATAGAGTGCGCAAGCGAGCTGAAAAGGCGATAGAGGAATAGAAAGAGAACGCTGCATATGGGCCCCTGCTGTCTTTGTCTATGCGCGCATGTGCAGTGATGTGCAGGTCATGAAAGATTGTACATACCTCGGTATTCTCGGTTTTATCTCGTTCTATCTCTATGTCGTTTTTAGCTAACCTTCTTATTTAAGCAAAAACATTTTAAAATGACAAAGAAATGCTTGATATGTAAAACAGAAGCATCTCCTAATTCCAATTGTAGTTTTCACACGTAAGTACATATTAATATCTCTAACCTCAAAATTTAATTAATTTTTAATGGACAATAGCAAAACTGTATACTTTTATAAATATTTAATAATGTGCATTTGATATTATATTGTTTGTAGTAAAATTTTTATTTTTTTATTTTTTTATATTTTATTTTTTTGTGTTAAATAATAAGACTGATTTAAAAGATTTAATTTTTGTGTTAAAAAAATTTAATTTTTGTGTTTAAAAAATTTAATTTTTGTGTTAAATAATAAAAGACTGAATAGAATTCTATTCTATTCTATGATTAACATTGTATGAACAACATGTAATAAATTTTGTTTTATTATTATATATATTGAGTATATTTATATACAATTCCATATTCAATTCCATATTAAAAAAAAAGTAATATTTTATGGTAATACTATGTACTTTGCTGTAATAATTTGGTAATTTTGGGAATTATTATTTAAGGATATATTTTCAAAGGGGTTCAAGGGGTTAGAACATAAATGCGTTATTATAGGTTATATCTCTACATGCGTTATAGGCTGCATTCCGATATTCACCGTCAGCAACTTTCGGTACTGAAAATCTATAGTATACGTAACATAAAATATAGATTTGCAGTATTGACGTGAATATCGGAATGCAGCCATAGACACTGAGCAGCGCAAAGACGCATGCGTGCATAGACAAAGACAGCAGGGGCCCATATGCAGCGTTCTCTTTCTATTCCTATATCGCAGTCTCTTACGTGCGAGCATATGACTCGCGCACTCTATTCTTATATCTCTATGGTGTCCAATCGTGCAATGTGCGTGTCCAATAGTGCGATGTCGAATCGTTCTATGTCCAATCGTGCGGTGTTCAATTGTTACGTGTCCAATGAAACGTGTCTAGGTAAAAGTGCATAATAACGGACCCAACCCCAATGACTTTGACCTTGACGTATACAGGGTGTCCCAGGACTTTATCGACAAACTTTGAGGAATAATAGGTCACACAGAAGGGATCATTTTTTGTTAAAGAACATATAGTCGCTGACGCGTCCTTAAGAAGTTATATGCATCCGAAAAGTCAGATCTTCGGTAAAATGTTTTGAACAAATAAAATTTATTTTTTCTTGCATGTTCTGACAATTTACAATAATAGCTGTTCAAATAGCCTGCCCTGTACCTCATTACATTGTTGACACCTTCGCAGCATTGATTGTCCAACTCTGTCAAGTATGGGTGTCATCTACCAGATATGAACACTATAGAGAGCGGTCGTATCGCTCCCCTGTACTACTGCTGCGCCAGCTTCGTGCACGAACGTGTGCGACGCTCATTCCTTCAGGAGACATTTGAGTACACGGATCGCGCGTCAGATTATACATTGCTGTCGAAAGTTTACTTATTACATATTGAAAGTTTTCTAATATTGAAAGTGTGTGAATGTAATACAAATAAATTACGAAAGTGTTTATGAAAGAAGGTGTTGTTGCTTTGCTTTGAATCCAATCCTCAAAAGGTTATGGAGACCCAGCAAGCTTCCACGGCGCAGGACGTGGCTGCAGGAGTTGAGGCCATGGAGATATCGAAAGCCGATGACAAGGCGGGTAAGTGGAAAACTGTCTTGAAAGTGTTATACGCGAGTAAACGGTCGAAAGAAGTGCGTTAATTTGAGGAAGTGCGTGTTTAACAAATTTTAGAAAGAAGAGCGAACGTAAAATATTACACGCGAAAGCTTCTGGTTTGCACGCGACAGTTTTCCCTAAAAACAACACCGATAGTTTTTCGAAAGTGTAAAATCAGCGGTAATCGAAAGATTGAAATCGGAAGTGAAACGCGTTTAAATTGTTGCAACAGTGAACGAAAGAAGCATTAAAAGTGATTGCACGAAATATAAAATCACGGTAAAAGAAAACGAAATATCGAAAGCATAGAGATTTAAAATGGCGTCGGAAGAATAAAATCACGCGTTGGAAAGAAAGAAAGTCAAAAGAACAATGCTCTCTTCTCGGGAAAACAAACGCCGGCCGGGACAGGCTTGAACGGGCGCGTGCTCGAGGTACTAGGCCGCGCGCGAGAGAGAGAGAGAGAGAGAGAGAGAGACAGAACGAAAACAAACGCACGAGACAGAGCTGTAGCCTACAGCCGCATACATATATATATATATATATATATATATATATATATATACGCGAAACATCGATCGGGTCGATGCGAGGAGCCGAGCGCCGCGCCGTAACCGAATGGCGGCTTGCATGTTCTAGAAGGGTGAGATCATTGCAGAGACAAGTGTCTAACTCGCTATTTTGTTTACAGTCGCAAATCTGTGCATTGACGCGATGTTCCATCTATTGAGTAGAATTGTTTTTTAGTGCGCTACCGTAGTATGTAAAAACAAAAAATATGTAAAAGAAAAAGAATAAAAAATGTATTTTTTTTTTTAATATAAATCACGACTTAATTTCTTCACATGCATTTCCATTCGAGTCGTATATGCGACGTTTGACTCGAACCACTCAGGCCACTTGAAATTTAAGGTATCGTATATCGTAAACTATGAAGCGATGCTCCGGCGACGCTCGCCTATTCGTATATCGTAAACTATGAAGCGCTCGCCTTTGTAGCGTGAGACTTCGCTGGAAGCGACTATCAGTTTACACGACCGCCATTATATTTTTCTCTGGCGACTTCAATCTCATCGTAGCCGTGAGCCTGCTTGAACGTGTTTCGCCCGAAAATATTTTTTTCGAGGATTAGTGACGCCTTTGTGATTGTTTTTTACTTTCTAGTTTGTGATATCTCCAAACCTTCCCCCGTATGAGGCTAAATACGTAAAATTAAGTAAAATTGTAGGAAGTGCCGCAGATTTAAATAATTTTAATTTTAATTTTAACGACTTTGATAATTTTAATTTTAACGACCGCCTCGAAATAAGTTTCGAAATCCGCGATGTGCTCGTGGCGGTCGATAGGTCGATGCGGGAAGATAGAATATATCTTATAACTAGATGAATTTAGAGTAAGACAAGCTATTTACATAAATTTTTTTTTTGTGAAAAAAAAGACGTGGCGATACAGAGTGTACCACCCGCCGTGACAAGTTCATTGACAACGCTTATGCCGGAGAGGTCAGCACGCGCCTCACAGTCGATCGGGAGCAGGCATAATTTTACGATCGGACGTTTATATTCTGAGGTCGGTGTTCTCACAGTCACCACACGAATCAGCCCGTCAGCGCCCGCATGGCACTGTGTTACACGACCGAGCTCCCACTTACAGGGAGGTAAAATAGCATTTCGTAGCAAGACGAGTTGCCCGATCTTCACTGGCGCTTTTAATCTTCGCCATTTGACGCGTTGCTGTAAGATGCTAACATATTCCGTCTGCCACAGCCGCCAAAACCGCTCGGTGATGTGACGAACGCTTTGCCAGCGTGATAAGCGATTCTCTTTGACGTTTAATAACGAGGGTTCCGGATTGACTGTGAGCGCGAACCCGATTAAGAAATGACCGGGGGTCAGTACTTCATAATCGTCTAACGTATCACTTAAAGGGGCGAGAGGACGCGAGTTTAAGCACGCTTCGATCTTGCATAGTAGAGTCGTAAGCTCTTCGAATGTTAGCGTGTGATTCTTAAGAACTCGGCGAAGATGGTACTTTACGCTGCGTACGCCTGCCTCCCAGAGGCCGCCGAAATGCGGTGCGGACGGAAGGAGGAAATGCCATTGTACATTATCGGAAGCGATGGCATTTAAGGAATTGGGATCGTTTACTGCCGCTCGGTATGCCTTGGCTAGTTCCTTGTCGGCTCCGACAAACGTAGTTCCGTTATCGGAATGCATTGACTCCGGCAATCCTCTACGAGAGCAAAATCGAGAGTAGGCGTCTAAAAATGCAGGTGTGGAATAATTTCCGACTAATTCAAGGTGCACTGCGCGCGTCGCGAGGCACACAAAGAGCGCGATATATGCTTTTCGCGAAACAATACCGCGCCCCCCGGAGGCTCGAACCTGCACCGGCCCCGCGTAATCGACCCCACAGTGGAGAAAACTACGGGAAGGCGCCGACACGCGCAAGGACGGGAGATCTCCCATGAGCTGCTGCGGCACGGCGGCCTTTTCGCGCGTGCAATTCACACACTTATGTATAACAGATCTGACTGAACTGCGAGCATTTAAGATCCAGAAATCGCAGCGCAACGTTGCGAGAGTTAAATGCGGGCCCGCATGAAGGGCGCGCAGATGAGCCTGCCTAATGATTAGCGTGACTAACGGGTGGGAAGCGAGTACGATCAGATGCTTCGCGTGATACGAGAGTGGAGCGTTTCTCAGGCGTCCTCCGACTCTTATCAATCCTTCGCTATCTACGAAGGGATTGAGAGCGAGAATGTGACTCTTGGAATTGACGGGTTGGTTCTGAGTGAGCTCGTGCAATTCGTGAGGGAATAAGTCGGCTTGGATAGCCCCGAGCCAGAATGTGCGAGCGCGGTGGCATTTGGAGGCCGATAAGGCGCGTCCGTGATGCTCAAGAGCGGGGAATTTTTTAGAGTGCCCGCGACAGGAGACGAATTGAATGATATACGCGGTGACTCGAATCAGTTTGGCCCAGTCCGAATATTGTAAGGCAAGATCCCACGGCGTGGGGACTCTCGCCGCGTGCGTGGTGACAGTCTTTTCTTCTATCGAAGTTTCCGTCAAGGGCGAGGGAAGACCCTCGGGCCATCGCGTCGCGGGGAACTTGAGCCATGGTGGTCCCTGCCACATAGTGGGTGAGTTGCGAGTTCGTGCCCTAGTAATCCGCGCGATGCACAATCTGCTGGGTTTTCGGCGGTCGACACGTGACGCCAAATCACATCGGGGAGACGGGACTGAATCTCAGCGACGCGGTTCGCGACGAAAGTCTTTCATCTCGACGGGTGTTGACGTAACCATGCAAGCACGACTTCTGCGTCGATCCAGCAATACCACGCGGAGGAATCGATCTTGACCGAATCTCGAACTAAAGTCATTACGCGCGCAAGTAGCAACGCAGCGAGTAGCTCCAACCGGGGAACGCTTAACGTTTTCACCGGAGCGACTTTCGATTTTCCCATAAGCAGAGATATAGTTATACGGCCAGATTTGGAGATTACGCGCAGGTAGACAGCGGCGGCGTACGCGACGTTAGACGCATCGGCTAAGCCGTGCAGTTCGCAGCGATCAGAGTCCGACTCTTGACCGGTCCACCGCGGCAAGTGAAGCTCGTTGAGCGCGGATAATTGATTGTAAATCGGTTTCCACTCGCGCAATATGTCATGAGGGAGCGTGTCGTCCCACTCGAACTTAAGACGCCACAACCGTTGCATCAATCGTGACGGGAGTCACCCAACCGAGCGGGTCAAACAGTTTCGCAATCGCGGAAAGAATCGATCGCTTTGTTTGCGGAGCAGGGTCGTCAGTAGCCGTTTGAAATTGAAAGATATCGAGCGCAAGGTTCCAACTGACCCCGAGGATTTTCAAACTTTCATCCGTTTTCAAAATTTTGTTGCACGCGAGTCCGTGATTCGCGGGATCAATGTCCGACGAAAGCTCCGAATTATTACTGGCCCATTTCCTTAGCTCAAAGCCACCTTTCCGTAGGAGGGCGATGAGTTGATCGCGGGAGATACAGAGGTCCTCGAGGCAATGCGCGCCGAAGAGAGTTTCGTCGATATATTTCCCTTTCTGGAGTATGAAAACAGCTAAGGGAAATGCCTGTCCTTCGTCGTTTACCAACTGATCGAGTACGCGAAGCGCTAAGTACGGAGCGGCCGCGGTACCATATGTGACGGTGAGAAGGATGTATTCGCGAAGCGGATCAGTAGGACGTTCTCGCCAAAGAATGCGTTGATACGTTACATCACGCGGGTCGACACGAATTTGCCGATACATTTTAGTCATGTCGGCCGTGTACACGTACTTGAATAGTCGCCATCGCAAGATGATAGCCGGTAGATCAGGTTGAAGTTTGGGTCCGACCAGGAGATGGTCGTTTAACGAGGACCCGTTTGACGTTGCGCAAGACGCGTTGAAGACGACGCTCAGATGACTCGTGGCGCTACTTTCGCGCATGACCGCGTGATGCGGGATGTAGACGCGGGCGAGCCGTGTGACGTCACGCAGACCGACGTGACCGTTGGACGCGGACCCCCATCCTCCCGCGGCGCGCCGCCGATAAAATTCCAGCAGCCGAACGGCGCCCGTTAGCTTTTGTAATACCCCGCGCCGATAAAGTGATGCCCCCCCCCCTGCGGACCACATCGGTCTAAAACGCGGACACCTACCCCCCCGCGCGGACCCTCTCGCCCTAGAACGCGGACACCTACCCTTCACCCCCGGACCACCCTCGGCGTAGAACGCGGACACCCCTCCTCCTTGGCGGTACCCTTGTCAACGATATGTTTATTAACATTTAATAAACATGTCCCGACATGCTCGCCGACCACCCCCCCTCCCCGCGGACCACCCATGCCCTCGAGTCCCCCCCTTCCGCGCGGACCACCTCGCCCTCGAGTTCCCCCGCTCCGTTCCCCCCTTGCCCGCGGTACCCCCCCGCCCCGCTTCCCCCTCGGAGCCACCGGGGTAGATATCTCAAAATAACTCCTACTATCCGCCATTTTTATTTTTTTGAGAGACATCCAAATCTTAGTGCTATCTACTCACAAGCTATGTATCCTCTTTTTTCCATTAAAAACAACAATTTAATCATATGATTTGTGTTTTTAACTCATATGAAGCGCCATATTTTGACCGCCATATTGAATTTTTAAAAGTACCACACTGTATTTGATAAAGCACACAAAAACAAAGATTTTAAGCCCTTAACCATTTTAATCGGTTCAATAGAATTTTGGAGACGGCCCTGTCCCGGTTGACATGGAACGTCCCATATATTTATATAAGTAACCTCTCACCCGCGTCGCGATATCTATTTCTGTTTACATTTTACAAACTTACTGGGACCTCTCATCCGAATCATATAATATTTAACCTTTCACCTGCGTCGCAATACCTATTTTTGCTAACATTTAGACTTACTAAGACCTCTCATTCGCGTCGCGATATCAATTTCTAAATCTTCAGAATTACTATCTTTTATTTATATATGTATCCATAAAATATTATTACTTGAAGATATTACTTAACAATAATTATTATTATTTTTACGTATATTAAAGTCTATGTTTTTATTGTACTAGGACGATGCTGAATATTATACAAATGCAACTTTATTTTTTACGCTAACGTCAAAAGCGAAATTGTCACGTTCGCCTCGTCGACGCTCATTTTCAGCGTCTTACGAATTGACACCTTTACTGAGATCCTCCTCACCCGCGTCGCGATCGCTGAAAAAAGGAACGCATCGCTCGATACGTAGGTCACTCGCGCTTCAATCGGGCGGTGACGCTTATCACTTCTCAAGGGGTCAAGGGGTCGAGGAGGGAAACGTATCGTTCTCTCTCTCGACGATGTCGCTCGCGCGCGTAATTACGTGCGCGATTATTATCGTCGTGGCGGTAAATTGTGAATCGAATCAAAATGAGACTGTGATCAGTTATTTGCAAAAAATATGGGTATCTGGATAACAACAACGATGCACAGTGTTTGAAAAAAAGTGTGAAAAATCCTTTGCATTAATTGATTACGTACTTTATTATAAAGGAATTCTCATTGGTGAACTTATACTATTTTATTAGATTATATCTTTCCATAAAGTAAATACGTATCATCAAACTCGTTGAACATATCAAATAAAAGTCTTCATATAATAACAAACGTACAATAGTAAAAACAATTCGTATTGATATATGGTGGATTAGTGCGTAATGATCTCGGTCGTATTCGAATAATATAGAGGCAATAATAGCCATACACAAAAATTACATCGGTGAATTATAACACATAAATAGTATTTCTCAAAAGAAATATGGATAAGGAAAATTAAAAGATAATTAGTTAAACCGATTATAATTTTAAGCTTTCGGTAAGATTGTTACGCACCAATCATTATGCCGCAAATATATGAATAATGTACAGAATATATAGATAGACTTTAAGAAACGAAAATATATACTGATAGAAACAAACTCATTATGAACAAAAATTAAGTCGGTGAACATCAAAAGAAAGGCACGCGTCACATTACTAATATTCTCGATTGTAATATTAAGAAACGAGTCTTTAATCCACGTAGAACTTCTCGAAGGTATTTAACAAACTCGAAATGTCTTTCAATCCGGTGAAAAGAGCGATCCATTCACATATTCAAAGTTCTCTGGGACAATATTTCTCGTGATATACATTTCTGCAACCAGAGATCGAAGAAAGGCTGTAATGATATTACAGTCATCATTGGGCATAATTTGGTGATCTATGGTAATTCAGAAATATATATATATATTACCTCGTGAGATGTAATTAGCCTCCTGGGCAAAATCCAATACGATATTCAATGCGTAACGTGATTCCCTCTCGTATGGATAATAATAGACGAGTCCACTTCGATACAATAATGGCGTCCTTGTGGTACTTCCTTCTTGCCGTAAATGCGTTATGGCGATCATCGTTGTCGTAAACAAATGTATCCGTTCTCTAGCTTGGAACGATACGTGTCGGGGTTATTGAACCACCGATAACTGCTTTTTATACTCAATCTCTCACTTGGATCGGGATTTCTCTCTCATAATAGTGCGTCACAATGTAAATTCTATCTCTCTAAAAACGTATGCTAATGCCTTAGAATCTTCTCGACTAAGAATCTCACCCGCATCGTCTTCTCGCGGCGGTCGCGCGCGTAGGGATATTTGGTTGCGCCGTCGACTCGTGTGAATAGGGGCCGCCCGTCGCGCGCCCGTGCGGTCGCTTCTCAGTCGCGTGCATGGCTCGTCCCGCGCGGGGGAGTGTACGGGGAGTGTGTTTACGGAATCAAATCAGGTAGCGAATTCTTTTTCTTTTTTCAACACACAGCGATTTTCATTGTCCTACAACACTACGCAGGAGTTACATCGAGCCATCTCACTGTTTCAAGAATTCCATCGACTATCCGGCGACGGTGAATTAAACGAAGAGACGCTGAATCGAATGCGTAAACCGCGATGCGGCGTCGAGGACATTTCGGAGCGCACGTTCGCTCCGCTTTCGGACAAATGGCCGAAGAAACATCTCAAATGGAACTTTCATCTGGCCAACGACTTGATTTTGAAAACGACCCGTGCCGCGTTCGATCTGTGGGCAGCGAATTCGTCATTGACGTTCGAGCACAATTTGCTGAATCCCGATATTCTGATATCGTTTCGTGAGTGGCGTCACATGATGGTAAACCCCCCCCTCCGACGAAAAAAACTGTGTTTGACTGCGCTCGACGGCCCCCACGGAGATCTCGCTCACGCGTTCTTTCCCACCAAAGAACGCAATTACGTCTCAGAGGTGCACGTAGACAAAACGGAGACGTGGCACATACAGCTGAATGAGAATCCCCCGGGAACGTACAATTTACTTTATACGCTGACGCACGAGATCGGTCACGCTTTAGGCTTGCCACACACTTTTCACAAAGATTCGGTGATGTACACGTACGTGCCTGATGATGCATTCCCCGTTCAACTCAGTCTAGAGGACGTTCTTTCCATACAACACTTGTACGGTGCTAAAAAAAACGTTAATTTTCCAAAACTAACGACGACAACACCGGCGACTACCACAACGACGATACCGACGACGACGACGACGGCTACGAAAGACGTCGAAACGGATCTGTGCACCTAGCGAAACGTGGATATCGTACTGATAATGAACGGTCGATTGTATATCTCGCACGAACGATACATGTGGTCGATCGATATAGACGGGAAAATTTATAAGAAATCCTTGCTATTGACGGACGCGTGAAATTTCTTCCCAAGAATTTCACGCGTCTGACGGCCGCGTATCAGGCGCCCTCGGGCAATATCATGCTGTTCGCTGGCAATATGAGCTATATGATCACTTATCCGCGTGTAAAGCTAGTTTTAACTTGGCCGAGATCTCACGCAGATCTCTGACTTCTCGATACGAACGCAAAGATCAACGCCGTGCTAAACACGAACGAAGGACGATCTTATATCATATACAACGATAATGTTGTGGGCGAGATAGACGATTGTTCGATGACTATCGTTAAGTTCTACCACATTAATATGATATTTCCGGGAATACCTCACAGCGTATCGTCGGCCTTTCGATACATCGACGGTAATCTGTACTTCATCAGTAAAAACCGATTCTACAGATTCAACGAATTCACGAAAACCGTAACGGCATCCGGCAATTTTGATCTGAGGATCCTCGGTATTACCTGCCCGAGAGACGGAATGATGATGTAACTGCGAGATCTATTGAGTCGATTTGTTCGAATTGACGCGAAGGAGACGTCGAATAAAGAAGAGGAAGAATAGAACGATTCGACGTATCCCCCCCTTTACATACCGCTCCTGAGAATATTAATGAAAAAAGGGGGAATCGTAATTTAATTCTTAAAAACAAGGTAAATAATGGGCTATAAGAGCCAACGCAGAATCTAATATGCGAAAATTATAATTAACAAATTCTTAGTCAATACATTAAAATATTAACAAATTAAAAATTATCAAACGTTTCTGCCCTGAATTGGGCCCTTTTCAGTGATAGTAATCAAAGAATGCATATATACGATGTATAAGAAATTAAATTAATAAGCACGTGAGCGGTGGTATCGCAACGAGCTGACACGAAGACGTAAGCACAGATATAGGAAAAGTTCATATTCTTGAGAACATCAAGCGCGCATCTCGAATCCGCGATGTTATAAAGCGTATGTCAGGCCCGCATCCGTGCAGCAAACGACTGTGAGAGTCAATCTCGTCTTCCATAGCAGAGGGAGACGAAAGGTGGCAAACTGTGGCCCGGCAGAACTGCAGAATGCAGTAAATGTTAAGAACTGTATAATAGATAGAAAAGTAATTGACTTACTACATGCTACACGAACAGCGGTCTAAACGTATCAGATGGTATTCATAGCCATTCTCCATCCGGAGAGAGCAATCTGTAGTCGTCGGTGTCAGAACTACTAATGCGAGTTCGAAGGACGCACGCCGTGAACTCGGAGACACGCAAGCAAAAACAAACAGGCATATAGGCGAAAATACAAACAGCCGCACAAAAGAAATTGAAGAATTTATTTAAACAGTAGAACGGTGTTTTATTTTATTTATTAGCGAAATGTAAGCCTCGCCTAAAAAGGCAGTGTCCGTATGTAAGTTAATGCCATTATGTTGTAAGCCAATATGTAACATTTCAGAGACCAAGCGTCTGACATGGAACGGTTCTTTGTCGAGAATTGCAGCATTCCCAAAATCAAACTTGTGGTTATTATCCACGCAATGCATCTGTACCACCGAATGTCCCCCAGGATTTACTCGTTTATGTTTTTTAATGCGAGTTCCCAAAAGTCTGCCAATCTGTCCAGTATAGGAAGCGTCGCAATCAGAGCAATTAATGCGATACACAACATTGCTCTGAGAAGCATTATCGACTATGTCCTTTTGTACTTTGATGAGACCATTAAGTTGGTTAAAACCGTATAAACTCAATTTTCTGTCTACAATGCTAGTGAGATAAGTAAACTTCTCTGAAATATTTTTTACATACGGAACAGGCAGGTAAGACTTGTTAGATCTTCATTGTCGGAAGATCTCGATGGAGATCTTTTGTGAAGAGATTTAAGTTTTTCCAAAAAAATCGCAAAAACAAAGTTCAGCGGGTAACCATTTTCGAGTAAGAGTGTAACAGCCAGAGACAGATTTTTTTGGTGGAAAATAGGATGGAATAGTCTAAAAGCTCTGTCAATTAGTCCCAAAACTACTCCTCTTTTTAAATTATTTGGTGAGAATCGCTCTTTGTTAAAGACCGCTAGAGAATAAATTGTTAATAAAAAATTAATAACAATTAAGTGAAACCGCGTCTTGTCGCAAATACATGCTAAATTATTCTGTTATTACAAGAACGTGATTCCCTAAAAATTTAAAGAAAATCGCTTTTTGCTGTCGACCGCTAGAGAATAAGTTGTTAATAAAAAATTAATAATAATTAAGGGAAACCGCGTCTTGTCGCAAATACTTGCTAAATTGTTTTGTTGTCACAAGTACGTGATTCCCTAAAAACTTGGAGAGAATCACTCTTCACTATATTCTACAGTTATTTATCGAATAATCAATAACAATTAAAACATATTTTTATATCAAATCGATTTTAAAAACAGTTTGAATATTGTTAAAAAAAATATATAGACATATTTAATCTTTATTAATTAATTATATCTTGAAAAAACTCAGTGGCCGATAATAATTAGCTATACCCACAAAAATAAAAGAAAAAGGATAAAAATAAACATATAAAAAGATATTTTTATTTGTTTTTAATTTTCAGAATAAAAACTCGTATTTATTTTATATATCTACATATTTCATTAATTTATAGTCTTAAATTATTTAAAGCATTATTATTTATCACATTGCTTGAGAAAGGATTAAAAAAAAACTTAAGGTCACGGTGATTCGAACCCATAATGTCGAGACTACGAAGTTGACACAAAATCACTCCGCCAAATTTTATATGACAGATATCCCTCCCGGCCTCCGGCGTCGCTCGCCACAACGTGAACATCGATCACAACGACTCTAGTGGTTATTAGAGAACTTAAGGTGGTTCTTGCATTTAGGTCATATGTACTTAGCCCGGAAAATTTAATATGAAATGAAAGATTAACGTTCCTCGAGTGTGTCTGTAAAATTTCGGATTTTTTAACCGATTGGTTCCGGAGATACATGTCCGTAAACTTTGCCAATTTAACGCGGTGGAGGGACCCCTTATTCGAAAAACGAGGTTAAAGCGCTTATGCTGCAAAAATTGCAATACTTCAAAACTAGATAAACGAACCAAAAACTGACAAAACGATGCAATGAACATTTTGCAAGATACTAGATAAAAGCCCGAGTTCATTGACCGTACCATATATTAATAAAACGTAATTTTTGATTGACTAAATCGACAATACGGAACTGACGGCTGGATACTCGAGCGGCATTAGCGGCAGTTTGGCAACGTCGCATGTGTCAGCTGATGAGTACAGCGCATATCTCAAAAAATTTGTTTACCATGTTCTGGACGCCGAATAAAGCAAAGGGTGAAATAAAAATATTTGTCCATTTCTGAAAAGAATTAAAATTAGGTTGCATCAAGATCTGCAATACTGAATAA